AAAGATGAGAAAAGTAGAAAAATCTCTACCAAAGGAGAGAAAAAAGGAAAGAAATGAAAAAGAGAGAATAAAAGTGGCTGAAAAACCATAATAAAAATGGAGGAGCCCTTGCTATTGCAGAAAGTAAAAGTGAAAAAATAAAAATACAACCAATTCAAAAAAAGGAATAAAAAAACAAAGAAACAATACACACATAAACACACACACATATAAATATAGCCTGGACACTAGGTGGTGCTGTGATATTAAGAGATGGAGAACACATCCTATTTTGCTGTTAAAAATTAGGGCCAGAAGCCACTCTCTAGTTGCAGAGGAGATTAGGTCCTATCTTCATGACTTAGCTGCTCTCCATCAGGTCCAAGTCTGGTTGCTTCATCAGCATTCAGCCTGCATGGGATTGGGGTCCTAAAGCTCTCATCAGAATCCTTAGGAGGCATGTCACACAGTGACCTCTGAGAACAATTCCTGGGGCTGCTCAGCTAACCCCAAGTGTGGATGCCCAAGCTAAGCAAGCACACTAGAACCAGCCATGCACTAGGCCCCTATGAACCATTTCTCCACATGGCCGTCCCACAATAGTAGCACCCGGATAGCAGCCAAGCTGATGGGAGATTTACCCCGCCTGGTATTTAATCCCAGCTGCTGGACACTGATTGAGTCCACCCACTCATTTAAGCCTTCCAAGGCTAGTCTAGTGAACAGGATTAGCCCCAAATCAAAAACTGCAGGATAGCCCTTTCCTGTCCTCAGTCTTCTGGGCTAGCTAGCTGGCCAGTCCCCACTCATTCCCAAGCACGTGCCTTCTGTGCTGGTTTCCTTCAGTTCCAGGCCTCCTTGGTGGCTCTTGTACTCTATTCCACTGTGCCCCCAGAATGATGTCCTTGGATGGGTTCCCCCAGCCAGAGGTGGTTAGAGTTTTCCTTCCCTTGCCTTGCTGTGAGTGGCTAGTAAGGAGATGTTTCTAGTCAGACATCTTGTTCTACCCTCCCAGAAGAAAAACTTTTGTGTAAGAGGTTACTTATGAAATTCAGAAGAAAAAACAATTAATAAATAAGTTGAGAACAAAACTTGCCTGCAGTTTTCTGTGTGTGTGTGTGTGTGTAAATACAAGGAGTTACACATGCTTTGTAGTAGCACCAAATAATTAAAATGATAGAAGCATAACAACAAAAGGCTGTATCATTCCTTTAGAAATAGAACTAGTAGAGGTGGAGGTGTGTTAGTAGTGTACATCAAGAAATTACTAGAAAGTCTTGAATAAAATGGCTAGAACATTGCTGACAAATCTTCATAAAGATTTATCTCTCATTTTACCTGCATAAAGATAAAGGAAAAGAAAATTTGCTAGAAAAAATTAAGATTTTATAGACTAAGACTCTTAGGGAAAAAAGACTCAAGAGTAATGGAAAAGTTTCAGGCATCAATTTGTGACTGTATACCATCAATGATGCCAACTTGCAGATGCATTTGCTAAAATGCTTCCATTAATCACTGAGGATTTACAGAAAATTAGAAAGATTGTGGTGTCAGCCAAAGTTCATGACAGGAGACAGAAATATTTTAAATAGTCAGAGATTTAATACTACATATGGTGAATGGGTGCTTGGCAAAATCATTGGAAGGGTGGAGGAGTGAGCTCAAGTCTGAGTCTCCTGGAATGACTCCCAGACACTAGAGAGCTGAATCACCAGGGAGCTCCCTCTTCTGAAAGTACCCTAAAACCACCAGATTTCAAGAACATACAATCAAAGCTGTGATTAAAGAATCATAGCCCTGGAACTGTGCATTTGCTGCTTCTGCCATAGTTATCCATTATGCTACCAATTGGGGAGTGGAACCTGGAATCCACTGCTGCCTCTCTTTTCACTCCTTTTCTCATCCAGGAACCTAGAGAATGACATGAATCATTGCTTCAGGAAAAAATTAAAACCCTTACTTCTCCATGAAAACTTGCTTTTTAAATAAGAAACATCAGAAGATAACAACCATCCTCACTTCTGCCTTACAAACCTCTCATAGGTGCACCCGCAGAACATTATAGGCTTCCAGAGTTCTCAGAGTGGTACGCTGCAAACACCTCTGGGAGGCATCTACCATCAAGAACCCAGGGCAGTCAAAGCTGGCCCTGGCACCTCATTCCAGCTTCCCAGGAAATAAGCACACCAGGGTTCTCAGCCTTGTGGCTGTGGCCATGTTCCCTCTAATGGACATTGGTGGGAATAGGAAATGAGAGGATATGGGGACAAGGGTGAGCTGGAGGGGAAAGTTGGGGGAGGTAAGATCATCCAGATCCCTCTCACTTGCTGCCTGGGTGCTCTCTACTCTTTACAACTTTTGACTCCATGCCTCATGTGTCTTCATGAGAGAAGGAGGCTCTACTGAGTGGCCACTTTGGCACCCTTTGAAATATAAAATGAAAATGCACATTATGCACAACAAAATGCAGTAACTCTGAATTCTCTCTAATTCAGAATGGAATGATATAATAGAGTTAAATGGAAGTTCAATGCACAAAACCACAACATTCTACACAAGTGCAAACAGGCAAATGTTCTTATTTCCTTAGAGGGAAAAAGGTTTTAGAAGAGACACATTTGAACTTGATAGTATTCCTTATATTGGTTAGAAAAGATAACCCCGTGAACCATTAAAATGTGATGTAATAATCACTGGGAATAGGGAGTTCATTAAAAACAAATCATGTCAAATAGCTTATTAAAGTGGTCAGTCAGAGAACTGTATCACTGTAACGTATCTATATTTTTAACAAAGCTTTTGCCTTTTTCACTGTCTTTTATGATATCATGAGACAAACTTTAAAAATGTGGGCAAGATGGTGGTACAGTTGAAGGGATTTGTAATAAGTAGAGAGACTTAAAACTGTCGATTAGCAGACAGATGTCCAATCATTACATATGCTATAGGAATTTATACTCTATTCTGCCCTACATTACATAATGAATCTAGAAAGAACATTGATTTTAAAAATAGCAGTAGCTACCATTTACTGAGTCCTCACACTAGATGAGGCACCATAGATACATTATTCATTCTTTTATTCCTCACAACAATCTTGTCAGGTTGTTATTGTCTAAATTTTAAATATGAGGAAACAGACGCTAGAAAGTATAAATAACTTGTCCATAGCTACATATCTAGTAAGCAGCAGAGCTGAAATTCATACCTAAAATTGCCTCAAGGAGGAGGTACCAGAGGGAGGGAGAAATGGGCCAGTAGTTTGCCTACCAAGAACCCCCAGAGGGTAGCATTTTCTCAGTTATTCTGCATGAGTCCTGCTCTCAGGAGGTGTGCCATATACCCTTTCATAAAGACAGTATTTTTAATTCAGGCAGCCCACTGTGACTCAATAGTGTATAATGTCATTATCAAAGAAGCCAGGGCAGACATATCTGTGTTAACCATGTCAGAACAGTATTGTTGAATGAATAAGAAGTTGCTAGCCCTACCCTAATCTTTAGTAACACTCCATGCCTTCAGTAGAAATGTTTATTTAGTTCAGGATCCAGATTTTCAGAGAATATTGACAGACTGGAGCTTATTTAGAGGAAACTGACCAAGATGGTGATGAAACCACATTTTGATAAGTGTGGTGGCAGGATCCTGGGGATATTTAGCTTAAGAATGAAAAGACTTAGGAGAAAAATAATAGAAACTAAAGTTACTGAGTGCTTACTCTAGGTCAGGCATTGTGTTCAGCTCTTTAATAGATTTCAAATGTATTATGGTCTGTTATAATGGAAAGAGACACTTTATTTTGAGTCTCCTGGAAGTCAGGGCTAACAATAGTCAGTAGAAGCCATAGAAAGACAACTCTGCCTGCTAGAATGATGGGATTTCTCCTCTCAAAGCTGTCCAAGAACAGAATGAGCTGCCTTGAGTGAGTTCTGTGTTTTTGGAGGTGTGCACGCAGAAACTGGTCAAACTTTTGGTGAAGATATTTTTAGAGAGGAATGGGTATTAAATGGAGAGATAGACCAACTGAACTCTAAGACTCTGTTCAACCTTATTCTTAATTGTTGTCTTACAGGGTAGTAATCCTATTTTTGGCTTTTAGTTCAGTGGCATGAGACTTAAATGGTCACAGTCACTTTCAATTCAATAAATCAATTGTACAGGATCCTGGTTCTGCATTCCTTCCTGGCAACTAAGACAAAACCTAGCAGAACTCAAAGTCACAGGAATGTGGGTGGGGTGGTGGTGTAAATATTCTGCAAATGCATCATTAGGTACAATGGCCACAGGAGACTTTCTCACTTTCTCATGTGACCTCCAACCTATATATTCTGAGTATGAGAGAATTAGTACTGTATGTTTAGATTGCTTTTTCACGACATGGCAAATTATCATTCCCAAACAGTTTGGAGAACTTCAAGTGTTAGAAGCATTTATTTTTGTCTTTGTATTTAAATGAAGTTTCCCTGGTGGCGTGTTGTATTTGGAGCTTTGTTATCGTTAATGAGTGCACTTCCATCATCATGCCACCTGTCTTTCACAGCAATTAATGCCACATATTAAAAACTGGTTCTTGTGAATAAGATAAGAATAAATGTCCATATAAAATAACCCCAAAGCAATAGATTTTTATAGAGAAAAACCTAAATATATTAATAGACATGAAACTGAATCCTAAAGGAATTAAATGACTTGCCACAATCACATGGTTAGTGGGAAATATGAGCACTTTTCTTTCTTCTTTTTTCTTCCTACCGACTGCTGCCATTATATGCTATATTTTTGTTGAGATCTCCTTTCCTCCTATTTTTCCTTTTACCCCTTCTTCTCCTCTTCTCCTAGTAAGTAGAATGTTTTTTCCAAGTCATTCATATCTTTGCTTACAGTCTGATTGGCATGTGACCCGAGGAGAGAGAATATGAGTAGGATTCCAAAACAGTATTCTTTACCCCATACCCTTAGGTAGGCAGGAGTTCTGAGGGATCTTTTCTTCTTAACTCTGGGTTGCCTTTGGGTCTCTGCAGTGCTGCGTATGATGCTGTCCTTGACAGAAATGTGGCCATTAAGAAGCTCAGCAGACCCTTTCAGAACCAAACACATGCCAAGAGAGCATACCGGGAGCTGGTCCTCATGAAGTGTGTGAACCATAAAAACGTGAGTTTTGTTATTTTTATACCTCTGGCAGTGGGAGGTTGCCCAACTTCAGTAGAAGAGACTTTCTTTACTGTGCAATATCTGCCTCTTAAGATTGTTTATCCTGTGCATATGCTAAATTTGATTTTCTGTCCTCATCGTAGCTTTCTGTTTAAAAATCATCTAAAAACCATATGATGTGGAGAAGATGAAGTTTATAGATATTTCCACATTACAAAATTAACCATATTTGGTTATTTTGCTCCAAATTAGTGAGAGAACTTCATATTCTTATAAAAAGAACACAACAAAATCAAATAACCTTACAGAAAAATATATTATATTTCTTCATAATTTTAAATTTAATTACTAACAGATGAAGGTTTTTATTCATCATGTATCTCATTTTTGTGTTAGCGATAGGCTGGTGCTGGCCTCTAACTCATGCATATACACATTGTGTATTGGCATCTTCTTTTGAGTAGCCAACAATTTGGACAAAGATGCAATTCTATATTTGCAAAACACTTCAGAACCAGACCATAAGGAGCATTTTCTCTTTGGAACTCAGCTGGGTAAACCATTAGAGGACTTTCTTCACTTCAGAGTCTAAGCTCCTTTAATTACTGGCAAAGGCCTCTAGAATTCTCTCTACACTTCAGTTCTTTTTATTAAGGATAAGTAAAGAGAATTCATTATTTTAATAATGACTATCATTAATAAAGTATGATAAACATTAAATATATTTTATGTTACATATATAATACTATATTTATAATCTATAATAATATAAATTATTATAAATTTGATTTTATTAAAAATAAAAAAATTATAAATCAGATTATTATAAAATATAGTAGCTATCATCACTTTCCACAAAGTTTTTGTTAAGTATGAAAATCACACAGAATGCATGGAATTATTGGTGCAGTTTTATAAACCAAGGATCTTGTCCTAAGGCTAGCCCCTATCAGTGGCACTGACAAGAAGCAAATATGTTAGTGTTTAGTTGAAAGATATGTGAAATGTAAACAAGTAGAATAAGGACCAATAGCAGTGTTTCTGTTTTCCTCTGTTACTCTAATCCAATGACTTTTTAATTCAGTCATTTGACAAGTACTTAATATTTGTTGAATAAATGAAATGTACCAGTCACAGATCTAAATGCCCAGTCTAGATGCTGAGGATACAGCAGTTCAGAAAACAGATACAAATCCCAACTCATATGGAGTTTATGTTCTGGAAAAAGAAAGGCAATTCACAAAATAGATGGGTAACTGTAGAATGTCAGATAGTGATCGGTCCTTGTAAGTAAACAAAGCAAAGAAGGAAGATGAAAAATACTTAACCAGTGTGGAGTGGAATAGGATAACCCTTTTGCATTGAGTAGCTAAGTCTTCACTAAGAAAAGAAAGTTTATGAAGTGTGCACCCATCTCTAATATCGCCATGCAATGAACGTGACCATGAGACTTTTAAAAAGGAATACAGGAATGATAGAAAGGATGGTTCTTAAGAAGATTCATATACTAAACAAGTTGTTCTTTCAGTATGTTAAATCAAGCAGGAGCAATATTAGCAGATGACAAATGCAATATATTTTTGTGGTATAAAGATGATGAAACTTAACATGGGCGAAGGGAAATGGATGGGTACAAGTAATGATGTAACTGTATAGAAAGTTTTCATGCATATGTGCACATGTTTATATTTTCCTAACCCTCATTCCAGATCCTGTAATGCACTATATTGTGGAGAAATGCTCCCTTACATGGCCAATTCTAGGGACTCTTATTCTCCATTTTTAACTAAAATGTTTGGACTCTTATTTATGGTACCTAAAAAGAAGTCCCCAATTGCCGTGAAGTTTGTAAATAGCATCCCACCTATGCCACCTATACTTTCCTCTTCTGTGTGTATGTATGTACCCATATAAGCCTACAGAAATAAATTTCTGGAACTTGTTAACAAAGAGGAAGTTCAGTTATAACCAAACATAAATTCTGCATTAGTACTTATAATACTGAGTAAAAGTCAGTCAGAATATAAAACTCCATAAATGCTGTGAAAAGTGAAAGAAACAATAATATATTCCCATTAATTTTTCAATAATAGTGAGGAAAATCTATTTCAAAAATGAATACTCAGTTCTAGCAACTAATGTGATTGTGGGTCCATGATAAATGTTGATTCATATTTGTGCATCTCAAGATGCTGGAGTGAAAAGACTGATATTTCTGCCTGGAAACTGTTGAACTGACATAGAAATACCTGCAATGATCTCCTTCCAAAGAAAAAATTTAAATTGGTTTTTAGTAGTAATTCAGATTCACAAGGGAGCAAAGAAAGAACGGAGGAGAAATTCTCAAAAGGAAATCAGAAAAGATAAAACAATAGCACAGGAAAGGTAAAACGAGAACATGTAAGAGGGACTAAATCTTGAGGAATCATATTTTAAAATAATACATTTTGATTTATGTATAAATTATAATATTATTTTCTAGATTATTTAGATTACCTAGATTATTCACACACCAGATGATGTGTGTTAGCATTTTTCTATCTATAAGGAGTGTTTGTGTGACTGGGTGTTCTGTACGCACCTTATGCACAATCTCTAATACTTTTATCTGGACAAATATTATAATGAAATAAATTACTTTATGATATTGAGAGAGAATCAAACCTACTGTAGATTTTCCAATGAAAGATGTACTTCACAACCATTTTTAAACACTAACTACAACCAAGTATACAGAACAAGACACTTTAATCACAAGTTTTAAGGATAATTTAAACAATTTTATTTCGATATGAATATTTTACAGTGCAAGGTTGCTTTAGAAAAAAGGTTGGTTTTTTTAATATTACAAGCATTGTCATATCTATGCACACTTGATGATATTGTGATTTTTTTCTCAATAATTTCTCAATAAGTGAAAACAAACATAAAACATCCCATAGAATTGACTTCATTTCTCAGATGTTTAAAATAATTTTGTTTTGTTTTTGTTACTCCATATGTTTTTATATCACCTGTAAAATTTATTGAAGTTCATTGATGCTGTGAAGCTGTTTAAATCTTGAACTTGTACTTACCCAGTTTTCATAAAATGGCTGCAACTATCTTGTGAGTGGAAGATTGTTATCTGTATATTTTTATGTTCATTTTGTACTGGCACATTAGTATAGAATATTTAGCTAGAAAAATATTTTGAATTATTTATGCATGCAATCTATTCAGAAATGTGGTAAAGGGTTTTTACAGAATTTATTCAGAAGGTAAATTTCTTTACTATCTGATATATAAAATAATTAAATCAGGAAACAAAAAGTTCCAAACTGAATTTAGAAAACATTTTTAAAAATTTTACACTGAATTCAACATTAAGAATCCTCCACGTTTTATCTTTCCCCATTGGGGCATTAGCTTAGGTAATATTTGAGTGGGAGATAGAAGTAAAAGAAATTACAGTAACAATACCCAAAAATCCTTGAAGTTGAATACCATTTTGTTCCTGTGGAGGAGAAATGTCACCTTGTCCAGTCCTACCAAGGGTCTCACTGCTGATTCCCTTCATGGCTCACTGCCTTTTTGGTTAATGTTCCAAAGTCTTATATTCTACCTCAAAGAACCACACCCTAAAGCAGTGTAACAATTATATATCTTCTCTGACTCGGCCCATGAATTTTTAAACTGCATTATTAACCTGAAGATAGATCTTATGCCCTTTCTGAGTACACTTTTCTATGTTCTATAAGACACTTCTAGACATTTTTTTCAACTTTTCTATTTCTACCATAGCACTTGACCTTGAATTGGAATAAATACATGTTCAAATATACCTTTAAAATAATTCATTTTCTCTTTTTTCTTTCTCTCTTTCCTCTGTTCATTCAACTCTCTTTTTCAGATTATTAGTTTATTAAACGTCTTCACACCCCAGAAAACGCTGGAGGAGTTCCAAGATGTGTAAGTAACAAAACTATGGAGGAAGGAAGTAAGAGCACAGCCCTCAGATAGCTCAAAGGAAAATGACATGCCCACACACACAAATAAATGAAATCCCCTGTAGAAATCAACGGTTGGTAAGATCTAGGATCAATGGCAGGGACCCAACCATAGTGGAAAGGATTCTGCTGTGGTGTTACTTCCTAGAAAGATAAGTCTGCCTTCTCCTGGCTGTTGCTCTAAGTGCTTCACTGTGCCATCCTCTTGGTTTGATCACAGAAGGCTTATCTATTTATTGTCATTAATTGATTCCACGAGCTTTCCAGAATGAGTCAATTCACTCTGAGAAATAGTAATACAAGGAACATAATAAAATTATCTTTGTATTTTATTTCTATTTTCCTGGTGCCTTAGATTACATGCAAAAAGATTCTACCTAGAAGTATAGCGATGCTAAGCAGAGGAGAGGAAGTGAATCCCCAGCACGTTGTCTTATTTAACACAGACAATGCTGAATTTAATGGAAGAAGTCATTCTGAATATTTTTCTTGCCTATAATCTTTTTTAAAAAAAATTTTAATCTTTTTTTGCTTGTTTTATTTTCCCTTTTATTAAGTCATATACACATAGATCACGAATACATTTATGCTTTTGTGAGGTACAATGTGTTGATTTTTTTTTTACACAATTTAGAATGGTTACATCAAAATAATTAATATAGTTTTCACCTCATTTACTTAATTATTGTGTTAAGACATTCATGTTCTATACTTGGTAGATTTGACTTGTACCATTACTACGTATATCCAAAAGATCAAAAATCACTTTCTAACAAAGATATTTGCACTAGATTGTTCATTGCAGCTTAATTCATAATTGCCAACACATGGGAGAAGCCCAAGTGCCCATCAACCCATGAATGGATTAATAAATTGTGGTATATATACACCATGGGATAATATGCAGCTTTAAAAAAGATGGAGACTTTACCTCTTTTATGTTTACATGGATTGAGCTGGAAAATATTCTTCTTAGTAAAGTATCTCAAAGAATGGAATAAAAAGTATCCAATGTACTCAATACTTTTATGAAACCAATTTATAATTACTCACATTTTCTTATTAAAGATAGATCACAACTTGCCTATAATCTTAATACTCAGGAAAGAGCTGAGGGTATATAGAGAAAAGTGATAGCAAGATGAAGATAAAAAATACATGGATATGAACCATACACTAACAAGTGCTGCTTCTATTTGTAACTGAGTGGTGGAGTTACTATAGCTAACACACATACAATACTCGGAAATTTTTCATATTCTTGATTCAGTCAAAGCCAGAGCTGGGAAGTTCAGAAGACTTCCAGAGTTAGGAGAAGATTCTGACTAAAGCAAAGGACTTCATAGATCTTGTGACTTGGAACTAACATTGTGGAATTTACCTTCTAGTTACTTAGTAATGGAACTGATGGATGCCAACTTATGTCAGGTGATTCAGATGGAATTAGACCATGAGCGAATGTCTTACCTGCTATACCAAATGCTGTGTGGCATCAAGCACCTCCACTCTGCTGGAATTATTCACAGGGTAAGAACACCCACTCTAGAATTATAATTAAGGTGTTTTTATAGAAGAGAAGAAGCAATTGCAGGTTATTTTCTTTATCGTTGGGTTTTGGTCAAATAGAATATATTTCCCTTATTTCTTTGGTAATAGAATTAGCACATAGTTCACTAATATGCAGAAGGAAATTCTATCTATCCTGTAGTCAGTCAAGTTGAATGTATGTTTCACCTTATTGAGAGGCAGCCTCTGACAAGCCTCATGCTTTGTACCTCCGTGACTGGCAGGGGTCATGCATGCTGTTAGAATAAGACAATCGATTTTTGTAGTTTGTTTCTAGGAGCATGAAGAGCGCTTCCCTGATCTGTTTTTTCTGTCTTCTGTCAAACTTAGAGATGAAAGATTTATATTTCTCTAAGGAGAAACTTAACAGATGACAATACATTTATAAAATACGTATAAATATAAATTTATATAATTTATTATCATCTGTTAGGTTTCTCCTTAGAAAACTATATCATATATATATTTATGTGTATGTATAAATATATTTTATCTGTATATATTTATAGATAAAATGTTTTTCTATTTTTTTTTCTTTCCTGAGATGAGCCTAAATTATAAAAAAAGTGATACAATTTTCTTCTGGGCTTAAAAACTTCCTGGGGATATTAAAAGAAATTCAAAAGCTAATCATTACTGCCTCTGTAGCAGTAATTGGTTGCTTTCCACAGGGCTTTGTGGGCAAATGGAACCCCAACAGTGCTCTGGCAAGACTGTTCTGTTGATTGAGTTGATGGAACTCACATGTTTCATTTGATGCTGGTTTTTAATTTCTTCTCTTGTTCCTACTCCTAGGATTTAAAACCTAGTAACATTGTAGTCAAGTCAGATTGCACATTGAAAATCCTGGACTTTGGACTGGCCAGGACAGCAGGCACAAGCTTCATGATGACTCCGTATGTGGTGACACGTTATTACAGAGCCCCTGAAGTCATCCTGGGAATGGGCTACAAGGAGAACGGTAGGGATGCTTTTGAGCAGCAGCAGCAAAGACCATGTATAAAATGAATACAGATTTTAGATAGCCAAAAGTGGTGTTCTCTTTCATGCATACGATGTTTTTAAAAAATAGGGCTGCCAGCTTTCATATTTAGAGTTTTTAAAATACTACTGGTGAGAATCTCTCAATAAAAATATGAAGAATGTTTCTGAGAAGTAAGCTTTGCTAGAAGAGCACTAAAATGTTAAAAGCTAAAAAGAACTGTAAATGGAGTCTGATTAAGCAGTCAAGTGAATACTGATTAGCACACATGCCATAGATACTGAGAAAAATGGTTTAGTTCAGAGTTAAGTGTGAAAACAGGAAGAAATCTATCTATGGTATTTAACCATTTGGCTTTTATGTCATAGCTTAGATTGAAGGCTGTAGACCTAGGGAAAGACATGTAAAAAGATGCCACAAATCCTTCATAAATGCTAAATAAATAGTCAGTTTGAAGTAACCCAAATTATTTGAGTTGAATGAGAATTGCTTTAAAAGCAATTCTCTGTAAGCTGCTCTGTAAGTAATATTTGGAGTAGCAATTGCCTAGTAAATGTCTATAAATTCTAAAAACCAGAAGAGGGTAAAATACTAAATTCGGTATCTCTGCTCTCATAAATATCTAATATTCAAGAATACTTGAAAAGATATAAGAAGAATCTTCAAAATGTATTACAATTTGATTTTATTGATTAAAATAAAGAATTTATTAAATACCTGTTAGAAAACATTGTGACATATTATTTTAATGCTAATCTTTCTGACAAGTAGTAAGCCACATTAAAAAACATACCCAAATATACTTAGGAATTAAAATTGTTTCAAATTAGGATTGTACATATGAACCCAAAGTACATTTCTTACATATTTTTATATTCTATTTAGTTTCTACAGTAATTTGTAAAATAGATTCATTAAAAATAGTCTGTATTTTTATATGCAAGTGCTACAGGGAAGGTACTTTTATGATTCTTCTCTGGCCACAGAAGTTTACAAAAACTTCTTCACATACTTCCAGATTAGAAGACAGACAATATTTGTGCATTTGAACAAAGGAAGGGGAAAAGTCAGCTCTTAAAGTCATTGGCCGTGGGGGGCAGTGTCAAAGTTGTAGGACCTTTTGACTTGGAGGAGATGTATCAAGTCCTCCTCCTAAGTCTTTACCCCCACTTCTAATTTATTCAGAAGAGAAGATATTTGAACACAGTCTTCATAAGTTATTTTTTAAAAGTCAAAGGGGAAACAAAGAAAAGTCAAGAATCAAGAACTTACAAGGGACCTGGGGAGTTGTCTGAATTTGCCTGTCCTGGTTTTGACATTAAAATCCCCTCTTCTTCCCTCACTGGAAGGAGTTGTAAGTTGCTGTCTCAGTTTTTTGGCTTCTCGAAGTCTGTGGAGAAGGCATGCCTCACACCCTGTGCTGGCCTCCCAGCAATGGGAGGGAGGTTATCATATGGCAAAACCTGCTTGCTCCCACATCAGGCATGCCCCGCTGTCCTGTGCACCTAACCTGCCTTCCTGCCCTCAGAGCAACCCAGCCTAATGTTTCTGCCCCCAAATTCCCTTTCTCCTTAAGAAAAAGCCAGTTGGAAAGGGGTAAAGGTTGGTAAGAGAAGGTAAAGCATGTTTGCCTAGCAAGTATGACAATTTGGAAATAAATATATGTACATAACAAATTTTTAACACCTTTAATACTTTTTCACTTTACTTCCAGATGATATCTTTATGTGTGTGCTAATTCATTATATATCTGTTTTTCTTAAAATATTTCAAATAGAAACTAAAACTGATGTTTATCTATAAGAATAACTTCTGAAGGAAAAGCTAATATCAGGGATTCCAATTTTTCTGCCTATAAACCACAGTCATTTTTTGGTTTCTTGAATTTGTACCTTATTTTGGACCCACAGATAAACAAACAAACAAGGTAGTCTCTTGTTGCCCTATTACATGTAACTGAACAGATTATAGAATAGAAATGGAAACAGCCAGACTTACAGGTTTGTATTATTTTTTTCCTGCATCCAGCAAATGAGTTTAAAAATTCTTCAGTCACCTGCCACAGAGATACTTCTGATTTAGCTACTGCTAAACCAGTGTTACCACTTTGTGGCATTACTGAGGCAATCAAAGGCATTCAATAAACAAAAAAATTCATCTGTGTTCTCACATTAGACATTGACTGTTAATGTAATAGTATGATGCTGGTTTTAATTCATTTTTTTCTTTTTTTTTTGCCAACTTTTGGTGGGAGGTGAAAATTGTACCTTCTAATCAAACTGTTCTTTTTCTTCCTCCTTCAGAAGTCAATTATTACCTTAGTTAACTTTTCTTTCCTCCCTTTTCTTCACTACCCTTTCTCTCCTGTTCTAGTGGATATATGGTCTGTGGGGTGCATCATGGGAGAAATGGTTCGCCACAAAATCCTCTTTCCAGGAAGGGACTGTATCCTTGTGCCTTTTGCTACAGCTTTACCTGTTTTGTTCTCTCTCCCTTTAAACACATACTGATTTTACCACGAGAGTAAAGATAGAAGCAAAGAGTTGGGTAAGTGGTGTCATTATAATAAAAAAAAAATGATGATTTCTATAATCTGACCAGTACTGAAGATTACCTACCACAATGATTTTTTAAATCTAATTTTCAATGGGCTTTTTTCTTCTTACATTACTTCCTTGCCTGTAACTCAAAATAGCAGTACTCTCTTTTTCCTAAATAATAAAGGCCACCAGACCACAAATGAGTAAAATAGTTTTATAACTAGAAAAAGAAGTTATTATTTACAAATCATTTTCCTAATTCCTTTCTAATTTTATGTTTATATAACATTCAGGTGCTCTCTTTGCTGACAACCTGAGCTTTTGTTTATGGCTTCATTGATTTAAATTACTCTTGACACTATATCAAGTCTTCAATGGTCAATATAGCATATTCTCCTTAAATAGTTATAATTTTTCCTTCCAGCTGAGTTCGGCTGAGTTTAGGGTTCTCTCACTTGATGTGGAGATGTGACATAAGCATAGATACTTGTTTTTCCAGCCAAATTTAGAATTTTAGAATTTTTGCATCCAAATTTAGCATTGTTGATTTGAGTTCCACCATTGAGTCTTGTGATAGATTACATTAGAAATTCCTTGGGGGGCCATCCATGATTTGGAATTTTAAATAAGCTAATATATTTCTTAAATGCCCAAAAGTTCACTCTCTAATAGGTACATATTTGGGTCTGTAACATACAGACACTAATGCTTATATATTAACATGAGAATATTTGTTCATTAATAAAGGTACCTTGCTCACAACACAATTGCACATCTAATTACAATATTTAGCAACTTTAGCAATGATAATTCAGGATTGAACTTAAGATATTTATTACATATGAATTTTTGAAATTGGCAATAAAAATCTGGTCCATAACTCCATTAACCATTCCATTTGATTGATAAGAAAGCTCTACTAAGGAAGCCTTTGTTATGTCAGAGAGATTGTGATTTTTATTTAAGTAGGAAAAAAAGACCAAGGCAAAGAATTTACTCAATAAGAAGTTGATACTATAATTAACATGCATCCAGGTAGGCTTTTATTCATTCTGCTGGATATAAATGGGATATTCTCTAAATCCCACTAATAATGTATTGACTGCCCACTAGGGAAACTGCTAGGCACACGTGGCATTTCAAAACTTCAAAGAACAGCTAGTTTATAATATGCACACAAGACTTTTAAGATATTTTTAAAAGTATATAGGATATATCACTAATAATTTTATATTATGTGTTAAAATGATAATATTTGAATATTTTGGGTTAAGTCCATATATTATTAAAATTAGCTTACCTGTTTCTTATTCTTCTCATGTGGATATTGAACTTAAAATCACATATATGATTTGCATTTATGACTGTCACTTTTCTTTTGGATAGTGCTGGTCTAGGACATGAGATGACCAAACGGCAGCCTTTTATTTACAACCAATCTTTAAGTCTTGAATCCCTGTCAATTCCATGTTCCTTTGCTACCAATTGCATGAGGTTCCATTTTCACCATCAAATTTCAAATGACTACTTAGGAAAATTTATTTTATGTTAAATCACCTATTTAAAGTTTGGAGATCAATTAGATACCTAATGTAGTTGAACAATATTATTATTTACATTCATACTTAAATGGACTGATTTTATTCAAAAGTAGAAACTATTTTCTTTATGCTTTTGCCTTTGGGGTATAAAACATTTCAGACAAACTTCTCAGTTAATCCTCAGCATGAAGTCCCACAGCCGCACTTCTACAATGCAACTTGTCAGTGGAAAATAAAACGTCACAGGGTCTCTCATTTCCATGTGACATTTTTGTTACATATCACTTGATTTCCACATAGCAAGCTTGTTCACTGAGATCTAATTTAGCTCTTCAAGCATTTGTCAGACTTACTTTGTGCCTATTTTGACAGTGTTAAATTTGAAAGCCAATAAAATTAGGAAAAACCAAAACCATTTTAACTTAAATTAACCTTTCAATAAACAAAGATAACAGTACCACTCTGATAATTCTGTATTCTTCCGAAAATTGTTCTCTTGGAGGTCCTTCTAAAATATTTGCCTTCTAAAATATTTGTCTTCTAAAATATTTGTCCTTCTAAAATAATGGAAATCAAATTGCATAAAAATCAATCATAAAACTTATATCATTAATATGTGTAATCCTATAAATTTAAATAATCTTTAATACAAAAAATGTAGATTACGTTAACAGTTTGCAGTCTGTATTCTTTAATATCAGGTGATGATTACATGTCTATTGATCTCTGATAACCTGGTGATGTATGTGATATAGACCTAAAAATAAAATGGGATGTCGCATGAAGACATTTACAGTGGAAAACTTTTTGCTCAAGTTAAATTTTACTTAAATATGGGTAAATAATTTCCAATGAAATGATTTAGATAAATGTTCTCTTTTAAAATGTTTCCATTTTGACTTAAGTTCTTAGTTCATTTTACCTATAATTAAAATCATAATTTAACATTTTAAGTTATAGCGACCTTTAAAAATAAAGTGTAGAAATCCCTGTTAAACAATGGACTCGATGTGCTTTGTGAATTTTGAGTGGAATTGTTTTCTTAATCTTTAAATGAAATTATCATCATTTACTAGTAGGATTACCTACCAACAATTGAGAGATCAGGCAACTGGAATTAACTTCACTAAACCATGACCATCAGTTGCAAGGCTAGGGGCTGGTGGAGGTTATTTATGGGGAGAAGATTTTTACCATTATTTTAGCATATTGAAATGAGTTTCACATTTGACATTCATATAATTTGAAAGCGATTTCAAAGTTTAGTATATGCTAATTGATAACATAACTACTTTTGTGATTCTGCAGAGATTAAAAACAATCAGAGATTTTCTTGATTTTCTCTTAGGATTATTCATTGCAATTTATATTTAATTACTCCGAGGCTAAAAAATAATGTGATCATGCTGTGTTATCATGATCAGCATATTTCTCTCTCTTCACCAAACTTTTGCTTGGGGTTCTTCTCTGAACCCCAAGTAAAAATAGTAAAATGCCTTGACAAATCCAGAGATCTTATGAAATTGTCCTGGATGAGTGTAACTAGAATTTTAACTACTTTCCTACCATAAAACTATCTTTGCATTTTGAGCAACATTATTGTAGATACTTGGTAACCGATATGATCCAGATGTATCAGAGCTTTCTTTCTTGATTACTAAAGTGTTGACAAGATAAGTAAAATTTAAAAAATAAATAATATATATTTGCTTTCTCATGCATTAGTTTGCTAATTTACCTACATATCCAAAGGACTGATTCGTTAGTTTTATTGTATAAAGAGTATCTTAATTATACATGCACATTGTCCATAAAGTTCATGTGTAATTTACTGTGTTAACCTATTTTAAATTGAACATGAACTTTATATCCACCCTGTATATTATCATACACTCAATTTCACTAGTATTATAATTAAAACATATTTCCTAGCATATATGTTGACATAATATGGTATGTTGTATTATTAAAACTTCTTAGTTACAGTAGTAAATATGCCAAGTCAGTCATTCTTTTCTTTATGTAGTGCAAAGAACAGATACATTGATGACTTTACCTTTCATACATACTTTTTCCTTCCATTAGAACTAACAGTAAGCAGTTTTACAATGATTTTTTATTTTTTTCTAAGAACTGTTCAGTCACTCACATCCTCCACCCACTTCAGACCTCAACCAGGGCGTGCCATCTTCTTGATTACCAAAAGCTCCTACAATACTTTAAGGAGTATTAAATAAGCTTTAAATAAGCTCTTTTTAAACCCTACTTCCGTTGGCTACTTTCTTTAACCTTTGTTTTTCCACTCTACCTCACATTGCAGGCCCTTCTTTTACAAGCCCCGTAATGTTTTTTTTATCTAGAGTTCCTGGCCAGAGTTCTCTGGACCTGAGTGAGGCTGAAGACAGGCACACTGAACCCATTTGAAGACTCTAGCCCTCAAGTACAGTATCTCCTAAGTAAAGCTGACAGTAAAGCTGACCTCCTCTTGCCTTTTACTCTAAAGAATATGAAATTTTAATTAGAATGAAAAAGATACACATATAAACTTTGCTAGGGAGCCAGGGGATTAAGGAACATGTGAATGGTTTTCCAAAAATATATTTGAGGAAATAAAGAAAACAACCTCAAATTAACCAAATGCCATATCTTTTTAAAGTTTGAAAATGAAAATTAAGAAGGATCAAAGTAAAATGAACAAAAATCGGTGGGTACAGATTGTTATATCCATCTAGTACAGAGATATTTCTTAATCCTTCTTGTCTCTTTGAAATAACATTGCTTTCTTCCTAATAAACCTTTGCAACTAATAACTTACTATATAGTCTAAGTCTGTTCCTTTGTATTAAGGCAATACACAGTTATCTCAAATAATATAAATTTTATGGCTTTACATAAAGTTGGGATGCATACTTTCACATCTATAAGCAAAAGGCAGATAATCACAAACTTTTTTTTTATTATTTATTTTTTGAGACAGAGTCTTACTTATGCTGCCTTTGGTAGAGTGCCATGGTGTCACAGCTCACAGCAACCTCAAACTCTTGGGCTTAAGCCATTCTCTTGCCTCAGCCTCCCAAGTAGCTGGCACTGTAGGCACCCACCACAACGCTCAGCTAATGAACATGTTTTTAGAAATAAGATTAGTTATTTATTTTTTCTTTAAATCTGTTTAAAAGAATATATACATTTTTATCATTGGTTTGCCTACTACTCTTTTATTTTTAATTTGGGAAAACTATGAGTGAGAGAGGATTCATTAAAATGGGAGCTTGAGGTACTGAGATTTTAAAGAAGTAAAAGCAAATTTAATAGGCTCACGGATAAAATTTTTCTCTGATTTCCTGTCATTCAAATATTTGGCATT